TGTCACTTGAGATTATATGACTGTCCTAGTAGATCTTCGAATGCACTGTATATTTAGGCATGACACTGATGATTGTTGTGCTAAAATGGGATGAAATAGACAAAATCATATGAAATAAAGTTGTCTTCTCCAGGATTACATGCAATTTTAACTTAGAACAGAACAAATGAAAGTAAAGGTAGTGCTTACTAGAAGACTCTTTGAGGTTGTTTGGTTCAAAACAAGATTATTCTAGGATTAACAATGGGATATAACCATGACAGATAATCCCACCTTCCATGTGGGTAGATAATACTATGATTTTGGTGAGAGTTTTATCCTGGTTTTCTCTAATACCTACAACCAAACACTGATAAATTTACTCCCAAATTTTATACTGGGATAACCCTGTAATCCTGCAGTCAAACAACCCCTTAGTATATTAAAGATGTAATCACTAGAGTATATTAGAAATTTAATCCTTAAGTATGGAATATTGAAATACATAATGAACCCAAATAGAGCATTTATGATATTGAGGATTCTGAAAGCCACCATCGGCTTGAGGTAGAGTCGTAACAGTAGTTGTTGAAATGTTGCACCAAAAAAATAATCAAGTCATGACAGTTACAGAGAAAGGCTAATTGTCGTACTTATACACGGGAGCTATTCTTTGTAGCCTCAGTTTTGACACCTGGTCAAATTGGCAAAACTTGCATGGATTGGGTTAGTATAGACTGTGGAACTGTCCTCTACTGAAATGACTTAGCTGGGTTTTGTTGCCATTTTTAGGTTTTATTTTACAAAAGACAATCTGTTCTGAGCTTCAAGTGAGCTCGAAGTGTTCATTTTCTACATTCGTAGTGTTTATTTAAATGATATATTTTGCCTTTATTTTTGGATTCTTTATTTCATTCATTGTTCAGTATCTCTAAAATTGAATTTGTCCTAATAGTTTCTTGCATATGTATGTCGCACTACACTCGTCGCAGTATTCACTATTTTAAATTCATATGAATGTAATCTGTATGTGGTATAATATATGTTCAGCTTAACATAATGATGTTGAAGATGATGGGGAGCTGATGATTGGAACAGGTCCAATGTTTACTGTAGAGTCTGATTAGACAACTTATATCCACTAGGCTGCTACTTAGGACTTCACAATTCTCTCCCCATATAGGAGTATGTACTTAACAATTTTAATCATCAATACAATCCTTGATTTTTCTAATCCTAGTCGACTTTAGCTAGTACAATAAGTAGCAGCCTAGTCAATATAAGTTGTCTAATCCTAGTTTGGCTCAAACTCTACAGTAAACTTGTCAGTCAGCTTCGTTGGACCTGTTCCTTGACATTTCCAATCATCAGCTCCCCTTCATCTTCAACAAATGTTACGTCACTAATTGAACTCTAACCTACAGTTACTAATTTTTTAGTGGGTAATGTTTTATTTTTTCTAAATATATAAATAGGTCACAAAATGGCTATATTTACTTGATCACCAAAAAAAATAGAAAGATCACAAATTCCAAAACCAAGTGCTTTGTTGGCAACTGTTGATGAAAAATTCATAAGTTGGTAATCATTTCTACTTGTGCAAATTTAGCCCAACCCACTAATTTGACAGCCCTAGTAATCATTCTTGCACTACTTTGCTATGGACTTCTTATCGAATAAAATGAATCTGATTGTATTAACTCTATTTTCACCATGCAGATCAAATCAATCCTTCTCATTGTTTGTTCTATTTTAATTTTTTGACAATCCTTTTTTCTTTCTTTTTTCTGTGTTGTCAGGCTATGATAATATTGGGGTTTTTGGTGTCTGGTGAGTCTCTAATACTAATACATTGCATTAACTTTTTTATTGATCCGAAAAGATTTCTACATGTGAAATTGCTGCAAGTATTTAATATTTTCTCAAGATGTCCATATGTTGCTAGAAAGTGAAAATCACCAGTCAATTTTTTTCTAAGAGACTCTTTAATTTGAATGCTGGCATTATGACATAACTTGTATTTTGTCTCGAACAGAATTAATTGGGGAAATGCGTAATACCTTGACTTATAGCTCTCTTAGCATACCTTGACTTATAGCTCTCTAAGCATACCCCTGCTGGCATTTTGATAACCAAATTTTGTCAAACTTAGACTTACACTCAAGTATTTGCTATACATAACTATATATATAAAAAAATTACTATACATAACTATATATCCAAAAAAAAAAGTACTATAGATAACTAAAAACAATTCACAATATAGTGAATGGAGTTCAATATTCATGAAAACCGGATTGAAAATAATCCATGTTGCGGAACCAAGATAAGCTATCTCTCTAAATACTAATAATAAGAAAGGGATATGGGCCTCCAACCCTTGTAAATAGAAGCTTTCTTCAGTCTCTATTTGCAAAGATGTATATCTTCTCTTCTTTTTTCTTTTTTCTTTTTTGGTGCTACATGGCTGCTTTAAATGCCATGATTGACTTCTTGAGCTCATTTCATAATTTGTAATGTAGCCTCCTCTTATACCTATTTTTCAGCATTCTCTTATTGCTGAAATTATTATACTTACCTTTAACAATCAGGAAAAGGGAGATGAGAAGAACTTAGAAGTTGCAAAATAAATAAATAAAAAGCTTTCAGTGTAGCCATGTGTTCTTTTATAACAGCAACATACCCGGTGTATTTCCACAAGTGGGGTCTGGGGAGGGCCATAGATTCTTTGATAAGACTTCAAGAAGTAGAAGAGAAAATAAAGTGCTATATGTAACTACCTTACCAGCTTTTCTAAAAGTATTCATCCGTCTCATGAACTGCAAATCTTTTCACACCAAACATCATTTGCTCCCTCCAGCTTTTCCATTGTGAACGTCTCATGAAACATTAATATGTAGTTATATACTTTAGTATTACCTGTGTATAACATTATATTATTTGAGAAAGATGTTGTTAGTATAGAGCGCTCTCTAGTCTAGCAATTCTAAAAGTATTCATCCTTCTCATGAATGGAATACTTTCTCACCAAGCATTCTTTGTGCTCCCCCCCAACCTGTTTCATTGTGAAAGCCTCTTGGAGTATTGACATTTATTCAAGTATTACATGTGTAAATTATCTGCAAATGATGTTTGGATTAAGCTATATTGTATCTTTGATGAAATGTTAACACATTTGAACGTAGGATTTCAAATAACCACCACCTTGGTTGTCTGTATTGCAGTGTTTTTGATTATATGTGTGACAAGAGTAGCAAAGGCCGCTTTAGAAAAAGCACTGGCTGAAAATGAAGATATTGATGACATTTTGTCCATACCAGAGCTACCTACTGTGGCTGATTCAGCTGCACGTCTCGACCAGCCCCTTATAATAAAGATAGATTCTGCTCAAGACAATCATGAAAAATAGGACTGGTATTATCTTTGTATATTTCATACTTGCGTTATGGCTATAGGTATCATTTCTTATTGATGATTTTGTCATCCCTTTGGTGAAGAAGCGTTTTCATAGTCTTCATTTGTACAGGCAGATCATACAAATGGACGTAGTTTGGACAGAAATTGAATTATTTAGTTTCTTTTTGGGGCTACTTCTAATCTACGAGTCCTGGATTACCATTACCACCAGTGTAATAAACCCCAGGAAATAATTTTCTTCCTTTTACGCGTTCCCTTGGTCTACTGCTCAAACCCATAAGAACCCTTTATCATGTTCTTGGATTGGACTTGATAATTGCTCCTTGTATTCTCAAGAGAAACTTTAAACTCAGTTGTGCATCTGTTTGTGAGAGTCATTTATTGGAACTGAAACTTATGCAAATGTTTTACCAAGTTACTTTTCGATCCATAGAGTGAGCAACTGACTATGGTTGGCCTTGAATTGGCGCGTTTCATTCTGGATGGATGGTCATTCAACTTTTTACTTTATTTCACGAAAGTCTAAACTATTTTTTGTAATGAGAAAGGATCACTCACTCAACTTTGCCTAATTATCACACATCTCCTTACTTGGGAACACTTAACATATGAATTTCAAAAAAGCAAATTTCATGTTCTTGCATTAGGAATGTTGCAAATTTTATCTATCGAAACCATGTGGAAACACAAGAAGATACTTTTAACTGCCAGCACTACAATATTTTTCCTCTTTGTATATCAACAAACATCATAACAAGGGCACTAAAGTTATTGGTGTGGCCTAATATTTGTTACACACTTTCCACCAAATGGCTGGTGGGTCAGGACCACAGTCAAGTCAAGTTCCAATATCTTAAAAAAGAATTGGCAATTCTGAATTCTTTGCCTGCCGCTGAAGTTTCTCCAGAAAGAGGCTAAAGGTGCTCTTGTTAGAAATTATAATTATTAAAGTTTTTTTTATTTTAAAAAAAGAAGATTAAAAAAGCACAGGCATAATCATAACAGATAAAGCAAAACTATTTGAAGCCTAATCCATAATTCACTAGTAAACAATTCTTTCTTTTCTGACCCCAAGAAAGTTGCTTTTATCTTGTTATAGTCCAAATTATGTGGTACCTTAGAAATGAAGATTGGACATTGTTATCAAGAAAATGGACATTTTTTTTAAAATCCTCTTTAAGCATCATAATATTTTTGGCCTAGACTATATCATACTGCTTAAATGTTGTTTAATTTTTTTTTAAAAGTTTTAGGAGGCACTTCTTAATCACTGAAAAATACAGGTGTCTTTATGAAATATTATATTTTATATAAATTATGTCACTCCTTAATAGAAAAAATATATATGTCATAGTCTAACAGCTAATACACTTAATTATAACTAGTAGTAAATTTACAACCACCTACTCTATTAGCCTAAGAGATTTGCTAGTCTTTTCCCAACTTCTAGTATAATTATAATTATAATATAATTTTTATATTAGCACAACATTAAATGGTAAACATTTTACACTATTAGTTTTACCATATTCCCTGTAAAATATAGATGTCTTCAATAAATATCATATATATATATCATGTCATAGTCTCACAGCTAATAAACTTAATTTCTCACACTCCCAAAACCAAAGAGTTACTACATTTTCAATGGCCCACAAATCCAAGAATATCAGAATCAATTAGTAGGCAAAGTTTGGAATAAATAGCAATTGGCTGAAAGTTACAGTAAATATATGATGACTATTTGCTTTCTCTAGACCCTTTAAAAAGCTAGCCAGCCTTGGTGACCAAAAAAAGACTCATAAATAATGAAATGGAGAGTGGTGGTAATTTTAGCCTTGTGTCTTTAGTGAAATGCTTCAATGGGTGCAAAGATCAAGCTCAAGTCTCTAGCTTTGGGACAAGGATTTGGAATTTTAGTGATAAATCAATTGAATTGCAAATAAGGGTTGGTTCAATCTTGAAGAAAGTTCATACATTGAAGCCAGGATCATCAAAGAGGTTAAATTCCAAGAAAATTTACAAGGCTTATATGCCTAGTAATAATTATTATAAAGGTGGAGTTAAGAGTTTACTTTATTATTATGATGAATCTTGCCACCCTTATATTTGGATTAATGATACTGGTTGTGATTTTTCAAGAATGGTGAAACAACAATACATAAGTCTTGAAGATTTGAGGGATTGTTCTGAGCTAAGGATATTTAGAGATCATCAAAGAGGTTGCATTTCTGTTAGGAAGAAACCAAGAACAGAACTTTGTTGATTTGGTGCGTTACCCTCGAATGGGCCCTGGTGAAAAACAAAAAAAAGTGTTCTTTCTTTTTCTTATTGCTTACTTATTTTTCATGATTAAAGAGTTGTGATTTGAATGCTTTTTAAGTGCTTTGGTTGATCTATGTATATTTACTAAAAACTAAGACATGTTAGATTGTCAAGTGATTTGTATTTATTTTTTGGCCTAAAATTTGTTGTTTGTATTTGTAATTGTTGATTAGCATATATATAGAATGGATTACTTGACATGTAATTGTTTTATAGTCTAGTAATACCAATGTTTATCTTTTGATTTGTATGATCTCTTTTATTTCCCTTCTTTATTTAATGTTTTCTCCTTTCTAGATGGTGTATTCTTATTATATCGTGTTTCATTTTTAACAACTTAATATTAACATATTATAGAAATGGAATTTTTTTTTCTTTCGAAAAGGTGAACTCTAGTTGTGCAAATTATTATCCTAATGTTTATTTTATATTGATTGAATCGAATTTTAATAGATTGAGTCATAGTGAAATATACAAACAATCCTCTTTGATTTCAATTTTCATTTTGATACTCCATTTTAAGTACACTCCTTCATTTGAACACTTCACCCTTTTAAAGCAAAATTTTGACTTGTTATTTGGGTGAGTACCTTAATAGGTACACGAATAAAGATATAATTTTTATTTGAATGATAATATTATTGTAGGTTTTAAAGATAATGAATTATCGGTCGAAGACTACATCACTTCCAAAGTTGAAATATTGGAGTTGATTGTTGGTTTTCATTTTTATAGTGCAAATGACGAGCGCAAATCACTTATAATTTAAGTGTTTCGCTAGTTAACAAAAATATATTGTAAAAATCATCTTCATAAGGAATGATTCAAATAATATTTGTAAAAACAACTTAGCACTTAGTATTCAAATGATTAACTTTAATTGTTTGTGATCACAAACTATTATTATCGACTAAAAATTGTAGTGAATACAATAAATAATGAACATCAAACAATAATCACTATATGGATGAGAGGTAAGGGTAAATGAGTAGACATATGCAAGATTTTACTTATGCGCTTTTATTATTTCTATCATTCTCTTTAAAATTTTATTAATTCGTAAAATTCTTTAATAATAATTATCTTAAAATTTAATAAATATAAACCTCTTTCGATTATCTATTCAGACTCACCAAACCAAACTAATGAAATCCCAAAAATCTTAGAAACTATGGATACAAATGGATCTTCACATGATTTCTCGTGAATATCACAAATACCAAATCACAATTAATAGTTTTGTAGCCTTTTTCAACTACTCAAAAAAAAAAATTCACTCTGAGCTAAATCAGATTTATATACAAATATTTTATAGTTCATACCCACTTTCAATTAAAATATTAAAAAATATCTACACATTTAATCAAATTACTATCCATAAGTTAAAAAAATAAATAAGAATTAAATCTAAGAACATCAATAAATACATTATATTTGTTGTGAAAATTGTATGCCAAATTGTTCCATAATAGCGTTAAAAATAAGGACAAGGAAGAAAAGAAAAATCTAGAATTCATTACAATCAATTTTCAATCTCTATTGTCAATGAAAAAGATGATTAAATTAGTGAAAATTTAATTCCAATCTTTAGTCCTTTTATCCTGTGTTTTCGAAGATACATTTTTTTTGAAGTACTTATATCATGTATATATAATTTTAGACCAAAACAATTTTAAAAAATTGAATTAAAAACTTGTACGATTATATCTGACACGTCACAACTTTTTTGACTCCAAAACTGTTTTAAAATTTTAAAAATTAATTTTACATTTAAAAAGTCACGTCATAAGCATTAAGCTAAATATAATGATTGAACCACAATCAAAATGGCAAATAAAGCAAATATATAGCTAAACAATGAGGATGGATTATAAATCATTACGAAAAATCGAATGAATATTTAAGCTATTTATTTAATCAAACAGTCCAAAATCAAATTTTGAGTATTTTATTTTATAAAATAAAAATAAGCAAATTTTATAGGTGAAGTGAATGAAATAAATCGAAATTTAAAACATTAAGATGATAATTATCCTTATTTTATTTATAATAATATTAAATCATTATAAACATTAAACACATGTCTATCCCTCAATTTATTAATTTTGAATATGATTTTTTAAAATTCACTTTTAATATATGTATATATCGAAGCAATTTCAAAATGCATTTGATGTCTTTTTCCATAAAAAAGAAACTCTTATCAACCAAACTTTGACAAATTGGAGTATTAGAATAATCTTACCTAAAAAAAAAAGTTTTTAAAAAAAAAAAAACAAAAGAGAGAGAAAAGGACAGAAGGAAGGTCACTGTTTTTCCCCCTAACGAGAGAGAGAGAGAGAGGCATTTGTCACTCTAAAGTCCCAACAGTCCAAACAGAGCTGAGCTGCGGTGGTGTGGCGGAGGACGGTGGAGAAAAATTGTGATGGGCGTTTCACAGAGCAACAACAGAAGAAGAAATCATAGCTGGAATGCTTATTATTCCTACCCTTCTTCTTCTTCTTCTTCTTCTTCTTCTTACTCTTACTACTCCTCTGACCCTCCTTACCACCCCCACCCTCCACCCCCTTTCCCTTTTCCACCTCATCTCCTCCCACCCCCACCTTCTTATTCCTACCCCTCTACCTGCCACTGCACTAATCCTGTAGTGGGTAGGTCTGTTTTTACTCCATATCAGAACAATGATTGGTCTGCTTCTTACCTACCTCCTCCTCCTCATCATCAGGTAGTGGGGATGGTGACCCCATCACCTTATGTTGAGACCCAACAAGCTAAGAAAGTTAAGAGTGGTGTTAATGTTCATAAAGATTCGTTAAAGCTTGAGATTGATGAGCAAAACCCAGATCATTATTTGGTTTCTTTTGTCTTTGATGCTCTCTTTGATGGAAAGTAAGTCTTCTTTCCCTTTCTTTGCTTAATTTATTGAATTGTAGATGTTTTGGAATTGTGGTTGTTTGAAAAATGGTGTTAATTAGGAACCTAGTTCAGCTGATTGATTTGGGTACTGAATACTGATAATGAAAAATGAGATGTGGTAGCTTAATTTGAATTCGTTCGAGATGAACTAAATACTAAGAATGAAAGATGAGATCTTTGTTTCTTTTTGTAGTTTTCTAGTTAAGCAAGTTAGAGCACCTCACTTTAGCCATCTTGTTGTGTACCAATGTGTGAGTTGTCGGATCTTCTTCTCTTGGAGGTCTTTACTTCTAGCTGATAGTCTATGTTTTCCAAGAAGATACTCTTATCTTAAGTTTAGAGTTAACAGATTATCCAACTGGTGAAGAAAGATTTTCTTGCTAGTTATGCTGCTTAATGGATGTTGCTTGGATCTTTGCTCTTTCTCTGTGACCTTACTTTAGCGAAAAAAAAAGTTATATCTGCAGATTCATCAGGGTACTTTTGAATTGGTGAAGTCTAGGGGCCAATGATTACTGGTTTAAGAAGTTATATTATTGTTCATTGCTTTACCTTCTCAAAGAAAAAAGATGTTATACTATTATTCTTTTTTCGCATTATTGTTATCAGGTTACATTCCTTAATGAACATCATACTTGATAACTAGCTCCCATAGCTTCAGTAAGATACTGCTCCGGTGTTTCCTGTTGCTATCATATATAGAGTTTCTTGACTAAAGAGATTTTGAAGTAAGAGATACATATAAGCAATATTGACTAGTAGAGATTAAATTTAATGTTTATAGGTACACATATGTTATGTCCTGTGTTTTCTTGGAGTTCTTTTAAGTTGATTAGGGATTAATCTAGTTTTCAGGGAATCCCGGTTTGTCTTAAAAGACAATTAAGTGGTTGGAACAAAATGGACCCAAATGCAACAGAATGGATGTAACCGATTTATATAGTTGACCCCTACTTGAGGGTGTGGTGTAATAGTTGTTACTGAAGTAATGTCAAGTGCACAAAATGACTCCTCTCTTGCACCTTCAGTTATCCTTTTGAAAACATCTTTAACTACTTGATGCCACATCTGTGATTGGAAGATCATCTGAGCTTGTCTGTGTCAGTGTTTTGTTTTCTGTTATTACTTTTGATGCGCAAACAATAACTTCTATTACTTAGCTTGCCAAACATTAGAATTCTGATGGATTTGTACAAAACGTCAGCCAAAATTACACTGCTTCTATGTCTTGTAAATCAGCTTGGCTTGCACTATACTTGTGTCATTGCTCTGTTTTATTATGTAGTTTTTTATGGGAATTGGCTATCCTTCTTTCTATGTTTAGCAATTATAGGACTGATCCAAGAACGAATAAGGGGTAGAATCATTACAAGAGCAATAGTATAGAAACTAGTGTCTGATTTTCAGCTCAAGTAAAAGACCCCATTGGGTTTGGGTCTGAAGTCTGAACAGACAACAACTCGCATGAAATAGATGCAGGAAGATATAAATCTCAAAAATGATGAGCTGTACTCGCTGCTGTATAGTTTCAAGTTTGATAGCTGTATGTAAGTTTTGTTTTATCGACTTGTGTCACAATGGGTTGAAGTGCTCCACTTTGGCCTCTAAATTAATTAATCCTTATACCAACGATTTTGGTCAAAATTTACAGATCCACACGTGCTTAGCTCACATGAGCTATGCTATACTCATTACAGATCAAGAGAGATTGTTGATTGGGAGCATAGGTTTGTAATCAAAAAGGAAAAAAGTAAAAGAAAATGGAAGGTAAGAAATTATAGAGGCATTCTTTTTCTAAAATTACAGAGGCATTTTTTTCCTGAAATTTTGAGAATCTAATTGCTCTATTTTGAAGCCTACCATTGATAGTCAAAACACATAAAACTATGTTCTCTAGATGGAAAAGTGTCCTTAAATAGTCAATAGAGATAGTAACAGAACTCATAGTGAGTTGCGATTCTCATGTATGGGCCCTAAATATATTAGCCACATTTCCCTTGTAAACCCGTCTTCTATTATGCTGTATTGTTATTAAGCTATTTTCTTTAGTTCTTACTCCTTATTTTGTTTTCTTGACTTGAAGCATTATATATTCGTAACTATGTCTCTTAAGTGCCAAAAGTGAAGTGACATCCACATTTGTGCAACATTACTAAAAGTGGATAGATCATTGAGTAGTTTTCATAGCACAATTTTGCACTTTTATTAATGATGAAGTCTTTGTCATTTGGTTCTCCTCCAGATGTGCCATCTATGGGATATGACATGTTGCTTGATATAGTGGCAAAACGTATCCAATAAGATTATGCTCTGTTAAGAGGATTCTAGCCTAGTATCTTTCTGGTCCCTGCTGTCACCAAGGAATAAGTTAAATAATCTTGATATATGTGAAGGCTAGAAAATGATTAGCAGACTCCATTTTCATGGATGTAAATTTCCCCTCTTTTTTTCTTTTTTCAGTTACCATTAAAAAAAATAACTTTTTTTCTTGTGTGTAGTTATGGTTAGACCGGCCACACCAAAATCCAAACCTCTACCTATAAAGTCCAACAATAGCTCTTCCCTTGGGGATGATTGTCTCAAATAGCCCCTTTTGAGGCCACTGGCCAGTGTTTATATTTTGTCCCGGTTTTAAAAATCTTTGAATAATCCATGCATTACACAATCAGAAGCATGTGAACTACTGCTTTCAGACAACTTTAGATTATGTGAATTCAACCCCAGAGACAATTTTAGACAGTGGTGTAATGTTTGCACATACACTTTGAATTTTTGTCTATAGGTAGTTTAGTTTCTTCTACAACTTTAGGCCATCACCGAAAGTTCTCAGTGAACTTCTAAAATTAATTTTTGAGATGTAATTAGAGGGACAAGGGTAATGTGTGATCTTAGATTCTTATAGGGATCAATCTTATTATTCATCCAAAAAGATATTGGCCTTGATTACTCGTTTTTGTTATAAAGCTTTAGGAAGAATTTACCAGTTACAAAAGAAATTTTTTTTTATGAAGGCTGGGAAAAGGCATAAATTTAGTTTGGTTGCAAAAGGTTCCTTATCAGAATATAAGGGTCTAAAGCTTTGAGATTACTTGAGAGAAAATGATCCCAGGCACGAAACAAGGTGATTTTCTAAAATCCAACTGACATCATGTAAGCTCATTAATTTTTCTTCAATCTCTTCTGATTGATTAAAAGCATGGTATGCGATTTCATTAACAAGTTTTAAAAAATTCTACTTAACAGCCGGGATAAATCTTTTGAAGTCACAGAGGACTTCTCTGGGGCTGAAATCTGGTTTGACTTGGTGGAGAGAAAGAGGAATTTCATGCAATTGTCATTAGCAACAAAAGGGAATAAGTAAGAAGGTGTTGATGTGGCTTTCTGATTTTATGCACCTGTCATCAGCAACAAAGTGGAATAAGTATGATATCTGGAAATTAAATGACCATTTATGATACTATTTTTTATCTCAAAAGTACAACAGTTGTGGCAGAGGCATTAGTGTAGTAGTAGTTCAAGGGGTGAGGAGATCAGTTATTGGTCCTGAACTGTCCCTGAACAAAGGATGGGGAGATATAGCAGGAAAAGTTGATAACTTCATGCTCAAAGGTGCAGTAAACCCAGTCGTCAGACAACTGTAGAATCAGAACATCTCTTATGCTGATATAGCCAGGCAGAGTAAATGGCAGGCAAAGAAGGGAAATTTCATTGTCAAATAGCAGAGTGAATGAATCTGTTGTACTTCTGTAATCATGGGAAATGACTTGATAAGCAGATGTCTAGTAAGGGGGTTTTTCAGCGATGCTGGAAGGTCTCACTCAGTCAGAACAGTGAAGATAGTAGCGGCTAAATGGAAATTAGCTAATGAACTGTAGTTTTGTTTAAATTTCCTAATGAGGAAATGGCCGAACAAGTAATGCTAGGTGTGACTAGAGATGGAAACAAGAACCCCCCTTAAGCTGAAATGGTGGTTGCCCGATTGCTTGTGCTCAGGAGAAAGCAATCACTGTTTGCTTGTGGATCATGGCTGTCAGTCTACCTCTACATCTTTGGTCAAAGGAGGTTATGAAGGAGATAGAGGAGAAATGTGGTGGATGGATTGTCACAGAGGACACTCTTTAAAAAACACTCCTACAATTGGCAAGAATCGAAGTCAAAGGGTCATGGGAAAAGAGCCCAAATTTTGTAGAAGTGGACAATGATGGTTTGATTTTCAGCTTCCCAATCTGGTTCGAATGTTTGCCGATGGTGAATGAAGGTCTGAAGAATAACGAAGAAGACAGCTGTCAAGCCTATGGCTATGCTTTGTGTGAAGTCCCCTCCAGAGCCTGATATTATAGAGGGTAGGGTGGCTCGGTGTGTAGGCCCACCATTTTTAAAATTTTTGAACACCTAGATTTACCTTTGGGGTGTGTAGGTGAACTGAATAATATTGGACTCAATCAGGGGTTTAAACCAAACTTTGGACTCGGTTCACAGGCTCAATTCTTTCTTAAAGAAGTGAGAGGTTGAGCCTGGTTACGATTTAAGTAAAAATTTCCAAATGACTTCAGTCTCTTAACCAAGGTGGATTATATACATGAAAATATTGAAGCTAACAACTTATATGATACACGAAGCTGTGACTCGCTACGTGGGTAGAGTCAGTAGTAGATACTCAAGTCTAGTAAATTCTTGCAAATTACAGATGCTTCAAATATTAGACGGAGACGGTGAAGAGGATAGTGATGAAGAGATGTATGAGGGGGAACGGGTTTGGATAATCATGACGACAATGGTTTGTGTGGAGCAATCACGCCAATTTTCAGTAGAGGGTATTCAATCTTTGGATATTCAGATTCAGCTAGCTGAGTTTCATGGGTAGAAATGGGAGGTGTGGTTGTTCCTGTAACTGGACAAGAAGAGGGAGGAGAAGCGAAAGGAAGCCAGTAATCTACTCCCTCTACCCTGAAACCGGATGACCAGAATGAAGGGAAGAATCTATCGTTTGGAGATTTATTTATAAAAGCTTGAGTAAAACAAAGATGAAAACATGCAATCCCTTCAGCAGTATGGTGGACCGTTTGGAAGGAAAAGAATGTGAGGATTTTTGTAAGCAAATCAGAATCTGTAGTTAGTACCAAGTACAGATGTTTATCCCCTTTTTTGGTGTAACTTGGCAATTGCAAATGATATAGAAGCCGTGATATATTTTTTGAGCTCATTACAGTTACACAATATGTCATGGAGCTACCCCCTGTATACTCCCCACAGCACCTTCTGGTTACTGGACCTTTAATACAATACCTTTTAAACTATCACTTTTTAAAGATGGTGGTTTGATAAACAGGGGAAGAAACAATTGGAATAATTCCCAGTGAAGATTCACATTATATCATGGAAAGTATGGGGCTTGAGTGATATTGCAAAGAGGAGGGTGATTAAATTTTTAATACGAGAGAAGGGCAGATATATATTGTACAGATGGAAGGGAATTATAGTGTGATTGTCAAACAACTGTGCAATAATAGATTGACCGACTATATGTGACTTTGTAGGCAAATGGGAGACTTGGAGGTATCTTAGTAACATGGGATAAAAGGATGTGGAGGGGAGAGATAATGAACACTGGTGTTCATTCCATTACCTGTAAATTCACTTCGGTCAGCAAGAATTTCAGCTGCTTCCTATCTGGGGTTCACACTCTAAACTGCACAAGGGAGAGACATGGTAGCTAGTTTCTACAAGATGGGCTTGTGCGGTCTCTGGAGATTTTAACACTACCAAGTTTGTGATTGAAAGAAGAAACAACAGTGTGTATGAAGGAATTATCTGACATAATTGAGGACTTAATACTCATTGATTCTCCACTATTATGAGGCATTTTATACTTGGGATAGGGGAAGCAATCATGAATGCCTTTCAAGAATTGATAGATTTCTTTTTTTTTTGTTGGGTGGATGAATTGTTCAATATTATTAAGCAATCCTTACTCCTTAGGATTTTATCTAACCATTGTCCTATTTCTTTTAAGTCTGGAGTCTGCGATTTTCTAAATCATATTTCAAATTTGAAAATTGATGGATGGATGCTGAAGGGTTTAAGAAAAAGGCGGAAGACTAGTGGAATTCTTTTGTGATCCAAGAAATGCCAGATTATATTGTCTTGCAAACTTAAATTGCTGAAGACTAAGCTAAAGGAATGGAATGCTTCTAATAGTGTGAATCTAAAGAAGAATAAGAGTAATTTACTTAACTAGACTTCATTGGTGGTTCTTTTGTGTAGGAACAAAGACCACTCAGTGAAGATGAACTGTGGAAAAAGCTAGCTTACACATGGAGAATCAAGTTCTTGGGGACTTTTCTGGGTTTCATGAAGAGGAAATTTTAAACTGGAGCAATGGTAGGAATGAGGTTTTCAATGTTAAATCAACTTATCTTCTGTTGGGAAAATGATAATCCCACAGGATGATATCCACACTAAATAGAAAGATAGTAACGAGACCAAATATTATAATGGGGTAAAGATGATACCTGAATATACAAGACAATAACACTAATGACTACTCGGTAGTGTCAAAAGATGACTATTTTATATGAACTACACTCTTTAATTTATTACAACTCAGAATAATATTACTTCCACTAGTTTCTCATAAATTAAGTAATAGTTTGTGGATTACTCTCTTTGTTTGGTGTGTTTTCAAATGTTCAATTACTACTCTATCTATAGAGTTATTGAAACTCTAGATTTACATCATTAGTGACACAAATGTGGCAACCAATTTCCACAAAGTTTGGCTGGAAAACTCCACTAAAATTTGACTACCAACTCCCACAAATGTAGCTGCCAACTTTCACGTTTGTGGTTGCCAACTTTCACAAAATTTGGTTATTTTCCTCAAGTGTGGCTGCCAAAGTTGTTGTCACACTTTGATCCCATAAAATCTCTCCCTTAATTCAAAAGAAGCTAGGGAGATTTTACAAAATTCTCTTCAAGGTATTAATAAAGTAAAGAAGATAAAATTTAAAACTCTTAAGGGCTGATTTTGAAGTTTTAAAAATGAAAGAATTCAAATCTATACGGATTTCTGTTAAAGATTGATGACTGATGACTGTTGTGAATCAACTAAGAAGGTATGGGAAAGAAGTTGATAATGTGCATATGGTAGAAAAGATCCTTTGCTCTTTAACACCTAAATTTTGTTATGTGGTGTGCTATTGAGGAGTCTATAGATTTAGACATAATGACGGTAGATCAACTGGAAGATAATTTACAAGTCGTCAAAGAAAAGATGAGGAGAAAAGAAGAGCCACTAGAGAAACTTCTTAAAATTCAGGCATGCTTTTAAAGAATTTGAAGGTAAAAGAAGTTACAGAGGAAATGGACAATGGCGAGGCCGTGGAGGTTGTGGAAGAGGAAGAATCGAAAAAGTTCTAATAACAAATTCAACAATCCATTGTTACTCTCTCAACTTGTGAAGCTGAATACGTGGCAGCAACATCATGTATTTGTCATGTTATTTGTCTGAGAAGATTGCTAAAGGAGCTTAACTTGCCATATATTGAAGCCACAATGATTTGTGTTGATAGCAAAGCTGTGCAAGCTCTTGCAAAGAATCCAATGTATCATGACCGAAGCAAGCACATAGACACTAGGTATCACTTCATAAGAGAATGCATTGCCAAATGAGGTCGAGCTCAAGTATGTAAAATCTCACGATCAAGGTATAGATATCTTTACAAAGCCTCTCAAGTTTGAAGATTTTCAGATATTGAGATCAAGCCTTGAAGTAAAAAAGAAAAACAAAATTGAGAGATTTGTGGGATCGAAGTGTCGCAGCCACACTTGTGGAAATTAACAACCAAATTTTGTGAAAGTTGACAGCCACAAATGTGAGAGTTGACAATCACATTTGTTGAAGTTGGTAGTTAAATTTTGGTGGAATGTGACAGTCAAACTTTGTGAAATTTGGTTGTCACATTTGTGTCACTAATGATGTAATCTAGAGGTTCAATAACTGTATAAATAGAGTAGTACCTGAATATTTGAAACACACCAAATAGAGAGATTAATCCACAAGCTATTAATTAGCTTGTGAGAAAATAGTATGGGAGTAATATTATTCTGAGTTGTAAGAAATGAAAGAGTGTTGTTTGTTAGAATAGGAATAAGAATAGTAACTACTTGGTAAAAAAATTGTATTGTAGTGTCTATAAATAGTGTTTTGTGTAATAATATAGGTACAACAAAATTCAATAATATTCTTCTCTTATGTTTCTCATGGTATTGGAACCAGCCCTATCCCAATTTGTTATTCACCGATGGTGGGCCACATTTATAAGTGTTCACGGTCCAGTTGATGTTTGGGCTTGCTAGGAGTGTTAAGAAGTCCTACATTGGCATAGGGATGGGATTTTTCTCTCCTTGTATGGATTTGGACAAACCTCCATTCATGAGCTAGCTTTTGAGGTGTAAGTTAGGCCCAACATTTAATTTCACATATCTTTTTCGATGACTACTTTCTCATATTTAATTTGTGTAGCACCCTGCTATCCTTTCGGTGACTATTTTTTCATATTTAATTTGTGTATCACTATGCCATATTTCCGGCAACTACTTTTTCATATTTAATTTGTGTAGAATCGTGATATCCTTCCAGTGACTACTCTTTTTTGCAGATCTGATTTTAGTAGCACCTTGCATTTCTCCGGACTACTTGTCATATTTAATTTGCGTAGTTCTGTGGATTTTTTCCGAATTACTTTATCATATTTGAGTTGCGTAGTTCCGTAGATTTAGGCTAATCCCCTCACCCGTATCTATACATGGATCCATATACCCGAATCTTAAAAATTAGGTCATGAAGGATCCGACTTTTAGATCCGCACTCGTATCGGACACCCGCACCCGAGTCCGAGCAACTTAGATTGAACCTTTCTGAAAGAAAATTCGTGTTGCATGTGATTGCCAACAATGCCCTGTCTTACCATTATGTTCAAAAGAAGAGAAGTTTGTGTGGCGAAGGTCAAATAACGATAGGAACGTGGGGCAGAAAAAGAGAGGGAAGAAAATTATCGAATAAAACACAACCTTTTGGAGTTGCCATGTCCTTATTTGTGACACTGATACTATTCATATGGAAATTACTAAATAGTACCCTGAAACATAATTTGGCCATGCTCTTCTGTGCAAGTTGTCTAGTACATTTCAGATTTTCAGGGAATCTCTTTATGTACCTATTTTTTGTGATCATGTAAGAATGATTCATTAGTGAGATAGACTTATTTGAGAAGTATCTTAAAATCTATCCGTCCCATACTTTATAATTTGGTTGAGATATTACTCAGGTGATAGTGAGCAACTGCTTGAACCTCAAATGAGTCAATGTAGTGTCACTTCATTTGTTGATCTTGATTTTTATAGATTCAGTGTTGGAACTGAAAACCTCAAAAAAGTTTTAGCTGAATACTTATTTGAGAAAGAAAAGCTTGGAGCCTCAAAAGAAACAATGTAAAGTCACTTAACCTGTTTATTTCATTTTTATAAAGGTAATCTGGTTCATATTAATTGATTTAAGTATGTGGGTGTTCAGTGGGAATTATGTGCTCCAAATTGGCAGGAGTACCAGACTACCAGTAGATATTACTTGTCTAATAACTTACAGATTGTATCTTATTGCTTTATTTATTTTGATAAGTAAATCTTATTGCTGAATCCCTTATCTAGTTTAGATCATGAAATGACTTCTCTTCTTTTTTCCTTTCTGTTGTACAGCATCACAGTGTTTTATTTTGTCAAGGAAGAGCCTCATTGCAGATTTGTTCCAATATACCCCCATGTCCATGTACCTATAACAGTTCCTTTCCAGAGAGGACTTGGACAGAAATTTCGTCAGCCTTTTGGGGCAGGCATTGACTTGAGTTTCTTTGAAATGGACGATCTCTCCGAACTATCATCAGAAGACAGTGTGTTTCCCCTTGTAATAACTGCTACAACCTGCCTTCCATCTGTTTTAACAGAGGATCATATTAGTGATACTCAACCTAAAACGTCCCTCCATATGCAAATTAGTCAAGCTGTATTGGAGAAGGATCATGAAGGGACTTTCAAAGTGAGAATAATCAGGCAGATTTTATGGGTTGATAATGTTCGCTATGAGCTGCATGAGATATATGGAATTGGAAACTCTGGCCCAGATTATGAGAACAATGGCTCAGGCAAGGAGTGTGTAATATGCATGACGGAACCCAAAGATACTGCAGTTCTTCCATGCCGCCATATGGTAAGAACCACTAATGCAGCCATGCTTTTTTGATAAGCACTGACTAATGAGTTGTCTTCCACTGCACGAGTTGCATTTTACATCTGATCGTCTCTCCAGTGCTCTGATGGTTTCTGTTTTTACCCATTAACATTTTGGCTGCTTAATTTATTCATAACTTTTTCCTGTTCTCCAGTGCATGTGCAGTGGATGTGCAAACACATTGAGACTTCAGTCAAACCGATGCCCAATTTGTCGACAACCATTTGAAGAACTCTTAGAGATAAGGATTAATAATGGTGATATCGATGAGTGAGCATTTTCTTGCAGAAACAAAGTAGCAATCTCAATCTCATCATACATGTCTTCTGTTTTCATTTCGTAAATGTTTGTCCCTATATATTTGTAGATCTTCATATGGCCAATCGACCACTTTTTTTTGGCCAACTATTTTTTCGTTTACTCGTGTTATATTGCAGTGTAAATATAAACCTAGTCCAAAATGGTCCAGATGAGTTTGTTTCACTGCACTGGAATAGTGCATGAACACATTTATGTATGTTTGATCTCTGACTAAAGCTTTTAATATTATTGCTACCTTTCCTAATGTCCTATATTTGAATCCATTGCTTGCAGATTCAGTTATGTGGTAAACCTTTTAGGCCTTTTTTCCTTGGTCAAGATCACAAAAGATGGCTATTCAAAATCAAGAAAATCACAAGAATAACTTTGAACATTCTGGATCTGGACAGATTTTTTTCACTTTTTTTTCTTTCTCTTAAAAACAGCCAAAAAGGGTGGTCTGTGGGAGAATATTTGGCATTGAAGTTAGCAGTAAGCAAGACAAACTTGAGCAGCATCCCCAAAAGGTCTGAAAGTGAGAAGAAGATAAACAGTAACATTTATAGCTTTTTTGTATGTTAGTTACAAACTTTGTACATATGCACTGCCTTTTCTCTTTGGGGACCATACATAGTTTTTTGAGTCTTGAACGTTACACTTCTCTGCTTGCTTGATTCAGTGTTTTGAGTCTTGAAGATGACACTTCTACATCATTCATTGTGTTTTCATTTATCTTCTTTCTCCCCCCATTTTTCTCTTTCATACATCATATCTTACATTTTGAAGATCAAGTTGGAGAAATCTCAAGAGCATTTTGTCGGTTGTTTCAATCATTTCTTCCATTCCCCATTTCTTTATCACACTATTCTCAATTTATTTGACTTAGAGTAGTTTCAAAAAAAATTACCTATTTCTTTTTTAAAGTAACTATTTAATTTAAACTTTTCACGTGACATTTCAAGATCAGATGGATAAACCGGATAAGTAAATCGAAGTGGAGGCAGTATGATGGATCAAATCATCTACATTTCTACTTTCTTTTTGGGATTTAATGCACTTCATTATGCTGTTTGGTAGTGCCATGCACTCTATTTTGTTTTTTGGAGATATCACATCCATGAAAATCTATTTCACAATATGTTTGATTATCTTTCAACCTTTTGTTTCTTCTAAAAACCCTATATAAACCACCTCCCTTTTTTAATCTAATGTCATCTAATATATATATATATCTTTTAGCCAAATTAATAAAATAATAAAGGAACACCAAAACCTACTTAAGATATAAAAAAGAAATCGTGGGTCAAATTTATTCCAAAAATTTATAACCGTGGTTTTGCTCATATGAAGGAGTGAGAGTTTTTCTTTTGGGGTGGGGGGTTGTAGTGTTATTGTTGGTGTGTGTGTGAAAAGGTGGAATTTTTTTCAGTGACTAGTACAATTTTTTTTTTGGTGGCAACTATATAGTGACATAGTGATAATTTCATCATATTCCTTTGACAAAATTCTATTGTCCTGAGTGATATACTGTACAATCCACAAATCTTACATCTTTGAGGATATCATGTCATTCATGATTTGGATCAGATATGGTGCAGTTACACCTCTTCGAGGATATGATTTTAAATAAAAAGATACGGAGGACATGAATTATGTTACAAGTAAAAAGGAGTGAGTCCATACTAGTAGGTTATAGTGTATGAACTTCTAGTAGTCATACTATTACTATTGCTTATTGTTCTTCGATCTATGTTATTATATATATGTTTGTTTAATTATAATATTATTTTTGCTACTACTATCTATTGTTTTATTACCGTTTATTGTTTTTTTATTACATTACATCTTTATCTAGATTGTTTTTATCTTTAGCACCGGATATATCTATGGAAAATAATCGCTCTTATCGTCTTCATAGTGTTAAATGATGGTTTCAAATGGATATAATGGCTAAAGAAGCTTAGTTTGAAAAAAGGTGCAACTCCCCACAAACTAAGTTATTTGGACAATTGTTCAACTTATCCCGAAAAGTCTTTGTGTGTGTAATCGATCGCTAGTTTTAAGCATGTAATTAACTTTTGGTAACAAATTCAAAATCCATCCATTTGATGTCTTCTCCCAATCATAGTATATACTCCTACTTATTTTATTATATATACAAGAAACACAAAAATAGATAGATGTAGATGAGTAGGGAGGTTAATAAAGAAAAATAATGTAATAGCAGTGACATCCAAAATGCCAACTATTTGAAAGTTGACAGATAACTGAAGGGATCACTTGAGCTACAGTGAGAATTGGACCAGCCCCCCACCTCTCCCTCTTTTCTTGTGCTACCAATTATTTTTCATCCTTACAGATTCCTTTTCTGCCTGCAAATAAAATTCATATTATCTGTTTTTGACTTTTAGCTTTAACATCTTTTATAGTTTTCTAAAATATTGTTGATGTTTCTGTGTGAACATTCTGGGGGGAGTTTCACTTACACAAGTCTTTACTAATCTTGGATCTATATACTCCTATATCAAGTAGGGACTCCCTCAAATTATATAACTTTATCACTTCTTTGGCTATTATTAGTTTTATATATACATCCTTTTTTATTGAATAATGTACTTCAATTCAAAATTTCCAATAAAGAAAAAAGGTAATGTAGATAGAAACCTATTATAATAATATGAGTACTTTCTATTATATTTTCGAAAATGTGTGTTATATGTGTGACATGTATAACAACTTTGTCTTTATTTTTATGAGATAGAGAGATTGTTTTTGATATACGCTCGACTAAACAGTCAACGAAACAGTGTTGTTATCTCTTCAAATGAGAAACAAAAAATAGGACTATTAATAGTTTGGATTGTTGAATAAAATTTGAATAGTAATTTATTTGGACATAAATGATTTATTAATATTTGATTCTCATTAAATCATTTTCTTTTCACTGCTGAGATTCCGACCCACACCCTAGACCAATAGGGAAAAAAAAATAAAGTTTAAGCATTTGATCAATCAAAATGAAATTTAATATTAACTTGACATTTTCTAGTTATGGAAGCAAATTAATTGAGATGATATCCCAGATAGTTATTTAATTAACGATAATTCTTTTAGAAAGTCATTCTACTTTGTTTGATAACCCATAATGGAGGTCTATCAAAAAAAATATTTAACGTTTTCACTCTTACAATATATTTTTGTTACTCGCACCTCACACTCCACTAACAAGAGTGGGAATGATTCACCTTTTAGTAAAGGTCTAGATTTCGAATCGTAAGTATAGAGTCGGCTAGACTTTAATTTATTAGAGATCAATTTATCCTAATGTGAGACTTTAATTTATTAGAGATCAAATTTAGTCTGACCTCAATACGGATACCCGATAAAAAGAAAAAAAAATACCCCCACCCCACCTCCCAATACACACACTTCCAACCCCCTTGGTTCACTTTCCTATTGCTCTGGGGTCCTTTTGCCTAGCTAGTCTTGAGTGTTGACTCTATCTAGGAGCATGCATAAGAAACCCTAATGCAAGTATATATAGGCATATTTTTTAAACAAGTAAAAATATTATGAATGTTCCTTAGAGCAGTAAAAGAAGATGCCACTTTGGTGATGGAATTTTATAGATTGTGAAAGGCCATGTGATGAGTATTGAATGTCTTGATAACAAAAGAATGTATAAACATGGGATGTGAGTATACATCTCTTGCATTAATATGTTACCCAATATATTCTCATCAATCACAATCTCTTTTGACCTATGTGGTGGTATTTCTTTAATCCTAACCAATGGCGATAACAATTTTTTGTCGCAATAAATATACATATTAACAAATAATATTAAATTTCTATCAACACTATTTAATTGTCATTAATCATTGTATTTAGAATCTAATATTTATACATATTTGACAAAAAAAAAATTTAACACATAATTAATGTACTAAAACTCTAATATATGTTTTGAAAACGTATTATTACAGCAACATTATTGCTGGCATACGAAGATGGTTAAATTACCAAAGGAAGAAGGTTGATTATTTTGTAGAAAGACATAACTTGAGAGGAAAAAAGTTCCAGAAAAGAATAATAATTATGTTCAATTTTAAGGAGGACTTCACTTTTTCCCTAATAAAATGCCTTTAACAAGAATGGCATGCAAGGTTTGATTAGCAAGAAAAGTGATAATTATGATATTTTGACATATAATTTGATACATTTTAATTACTCTTCCTTTAATTTGGTGTGTTTTAATTACGTGAAATCCGTGAAAAACGACCCTAGTGATTCCAATTGTGGTAATTTATGTATAGTACTACTTGAGAGGATTATTTTGTTTGAGATATATATTATTAATCATGAGTTTATATTATTAATTATGTGTTTAGATATATTTTATATTTATTATAAAATTATAATTATTTATAAATTTTAATTAAAAAAATTAATAGATCATATAATCGTTTATGCGTTTATTCACTTATATAATAAGGTTTTAGCTTATATATAGTCTTATAAGTATAAATTTATTTGTTCACTATCTAAGATGAAATCGGGCAAGCCATTAGTATGATTGTAGTACAAGATTAAATATAATTTAATTTGATATATTGAACGAAATCGAGTGGAGATAGTTATTAGACTGATGGACAAGAGCATATTCTCTAAACTGTTAAATATACTTATATTTTTTTATCATGATATAACTATTATGATATGTATATATTAATTATATTTTTTATTTATTAAAATGTAAGATCTTGAGATGGATCAATATGTCTGGTAGATTGGATGATAATAATGTATTATAAAAGTGAAATAATAAGTTAGTTGATGGAATCCATGTTTAGATATAGAGATTGACGGTATATGTCTTTTTGAAAAGCTTATAATTTTTTTGTTGTGTCAAACCTTGCAAATGAATTTATAAATTCGATATATGAAATAACTTAATTAATGCTCTAAAAAAAT